GATATGTAAACTCATCTTCATTGGTCGACTACAAACATGTCGTATCATCTGAAACATGGAAGTAGCTACATGCCCATTAGCCCACAGCTTCATTAACAGGCGGCTCGCTCAGTGTGTGACGTGCACTTGTAGATAAAATATAGGCCTATATAGAGTGTGCCAGTAAACCCGGAACTCCGTTAGCGCTTTTAGCACTTCCGTTTCTCTCGTCTAAAAGTCAACACGTTTTTTGAATGGGATTTCGGTAAAATGCCTCTGTCTGTGGTTAACAAAAGCTTAAGCAAGTTTCAGGTTTTGTTCTACGACATAAAACATGTCAGTAAATACCCTACTTGTGAATTTTGAATCTTTTATGTGTCGTAAAAAAGGCGGTTGCTAACAAGTTGCTCAATACGACTACAAACCCTGTCAGGGACATTAAACGTCATCCCCCGAACAGACGAGAGTGCTGGCAGTCCGCCATTACAGCTTCTTATTTAGCTTAAACAGTCCGATTTCCCCATTATACAATGTTTTTAAAATAAAGCAGCCGAAATCAGTTGAAAGCTTAGTGGCGGTGGCGTCAAGAGTCATGTGACCATGCAGTAGTCATGTAGTCCGTTAAAGCCTAACGTTAGCTTTTTACTTCTGGCGATCACATTTAAGCTTCAAAGGCGATATGAAAGGTGTTCATATGTGAAGATTATCTCGCTGAACAAAACCTGTAAGTATCATAAACTTGTGTTAGCCACAGAGCTTATTTTCTGACATAATCCAAAACGCAATGCAAAAATCACATTCACTTTCTCTTCTGGGAACCAGCGCGATGCTAAACTTCCGGGTTTTGACGTCAGCCCTGGCACACTCTATTAATGAAGGTTCATTAGTACGGTTTTGTATTTCTCTGTAATGTAGCACAGTGTTAACAATGTTACTGATACTATTCTTTCTCACACCTTCAACTCAAACCACCAAAATATATCATTTAATGATAACATTAAACATGTGGGCATCTAGTCGACTAATGGCCCTAAATGACGACTATTGGTCTGAAAATTCTCATCTTCCAGTTTGATCTGGTTTTGAATCTGACTCGTCAACTTCATGTGTGTATGTTTGTTTGTGTGATACAGTTGACCCATTACAGTTGGCAGGCAAACATGGTGAAACCTCTGAATGCTCAGTTGTTGTGCGAATACAATCTAATGAAGACATGTGTATGTGTGTGTGTGTGTGGGGGGGAGAGAGAGAAAGAGAGAGAGAGAGCGTGTTCTTTAGTGGAAACTGCACTCACTGTCTTTTTACAGCTCTCTCTTAAACACGCACGCACGCATGCGCGCGCGCACACACACACACACACACACACACACACACACACACACACACACACACAGCACTCTGTCAGCCTAGACAAACTAATCCGAGATAAGAGAGCGAAGACAGGCCTTTTCATTAATGGCATCAGCTCGCCAACAAAGGCTGGCTGACAGGCCGGCTAACTAAAGCACAAACAAACACACACACACACCCACACACACACACACACACACACACAGGATAAAGTTATTTGAAGGCACTAAAATGATTGAGCAGGCTACAGACAAACAATGCTCAAATAGAAACCCAGTTCCAAAGACAGCAGCAGAGGCAGCAGCAGCAAATTGGCTGATTTTTTTGTTCGATTATGCATGCAGTGATTATCTGCACTATTTTCATATGAAATAAACAACACATAATATGCAGTTCATCAAGTGTTATCTTGAATTCCTGATTCACCCTAGCTGTGGTAAATAAGCAAACAGCTTGTTGCGAATTAATCATTAATCAGTGCTAGCTCTCTAAGGGTTCAAAACTGACTCCCTGTTACACTTAAAACTGTCCCATGTGCAACACCAGATAGGAATTAAATTACCCGAGGCAAGTGGGTATGAATGAGCCACTTAAACACTAATTGTTGATTATATGAGAAGATTGATGCCACTTTCATGTCCAGTAAATATAATACTACAGCCAGCAGATGGTTAGCTTAGCTTAGCATAAAGCAGGACACAGGGAAACAGCTAGCATGGCTCTGTCCAAAGTGCTCACACTAGCAGCTCTAAGACTCACTAATTAAAGGAAAACTTCATCCCAAATAAGACCATTTCTAAATCAGTTACTCACCTGATGTTTCCTTGAATATGTGACGAACACTTTGTTTTCCTTGCATGCCCCAATGGTGAACGAAGAATCCAAAAACAGGAAATACTTGATAAATTGAAGCAAGAGTTTACAAACTCTCACAAAACCTTTGCAGTGTAATCCAAGTCTTATTTTTCCAGTCACATGCTCAGTGCATTTTGCGGCCCTTGTTGTTTAAAACACCTCTGCTGTGAGTAGCACACATAGGCAAGCACGTGCGTTTGAACTCTGCTCATGCATTTCATTGAGTTGCCCAGGCACGCTACTCATCTGTGCGTGAGACTGTTTATGCTGATGTGTTTTAAATGGTCAAGTTTTAGCAAAAATGCATTGCGATGTGTTTAGGAAGTACTGAGCATTTAGTTGGATAAATGAGACTCGGATTATACTGCATGAGTTGTGTGAGAGTTTCTAAATGGATGTTTTGATATAGCTTTTACTTCAAATCATCAAAAACTGTCTCGTGAGAAAAAAAAAGTGAGAAAAAAAAAGTTTTCTTTATGAATTCAACTTTACATAGGGTTAGTAACTGATTTCCAAACAGGCATTTGGTGAGGGAAGTATTTCTTTAACATATTAAATCTTGCTTGTTGAATCCATACAGACACTTAAATGTAAAATTAACAGATAAAGTTACAGGAGGTTATGTGCTAGACTATTTCTTAGCCTGCATCAGTAAGTACCTGAAATGTCGTCTGGTTGCCAGGCAACCATGCTGCCAACAGTACTTGAAGAAGTTACTTCTGTTGGTCAGGAAGGTAAGCAGATTTTGTTACCTGCAGACAGAGCCATGCTTGCTGAGTTAAATCTAACCAGCAGCTGTCTGTGGACTAACTACTGTACATGTATTATGTGGTAAGACAGTGGCAAGAAAGTAAATATGTGTATTTTACAAAAAGTCAAAGCAAGACGTGCAACAAGTAGAGAAAAGCTTTACATTTGCTGTTCTGAACATTTTGTGTCAAGCTCTTTGGTAGATAAAATTCACAGAGGAAGTGGCACGTTGGAGGACATCAATTCAGTTCACTTCATTCATTCATTCATTCATTTTCTGTTTATCCTGTTGGGGGTCGCAGGGTGGCTGGAGCCTATCCCAGCTGGCACTGGGTGAGAGGCAGGGTACACCCTGGACAGGTCCCCAGACTATCACAGGGCTGACACATAGAGACAGACAACCATTCACACTCACATTCACACCTACGGTCAATTTAGAGTCACCAATTAACCTGCATGTCTTTGGACTGTGGGAGGAAGCTGGAGTACCTGGAGGAAACCCACGCTGACACAGGGAGAACATGCAAACTCCACACAGAAGGGCTCCCCCACCCTGGGTTCGAATCAGGAACCCTTTTGCTGTGAGGTTACCACTGCACCACTGTGCTGCCCTGCTACAGTGCTACCACCAATTTAATTCAATTCAACAGTTTAATTCTTGTGCCAGACAGTGCTGTAAAGCCACAAACTGTGGCAACCAGAACAACCAGTGGGTATCCCAGGTCAGGGTCACTCACTGGGCCTAGATTTAACAACAACAGAGTATTAAATACCTGGCAAAATATTCAAATACACAAGATAAGAGGTGTTTTCAGTGAGCAAAAGCAAAAAGCAATGCCTGATAGAGTAACAGTAGGAATAAGATAAGAACAAAAGGTTACTAAAAATGAACTACAATGGTGGACTGAAGAGAGAAGAAACTCCTGAAGCAGAAACACGTCTGCAGTGAAAACTTTCTGATATATAAAGAATTGCTTTCTTTATTTTGCCACTGATGAGCTGCAGTAATGTTGTCCTGCCTCCAGAGGGCAAGTTCCCACAACTAACCAGTGAACTGTGAAGATTCTGCAGTGAAACAGAAAAAGTGCTTCCTCTTTTTTATATATTTGTCTCTGTTCCTACAGTAAAACCAGCTCTCGTGTCCCTTTCCTCTCATTAACCAGCTCACTTGTTGCATAAATTCTTTCTATCTCTTGTTCCCTTTTTCCTACTTTGTCCTCATACATGCATCCTTTTATTCCAAACATCATATTTCCCCTTTATGCATTCATTCTCTTTTTCCCACTGTGCATGTTTCTCAATGGCTTTTCTTCCTCACTGCATGCAATCTCGCTCCGTCTCCGTCTCTCCCTGCATAATACATGGTCTTCCTCACACACACCCTTCTCCTTATCTCTCCCTGTTCACATGTATGCTCTCTGTCTCCCTCTTCATGGGACATTAACGTCAGCGTGGCTCATAACGAGTCTTGACAGTGACAAGATAAGTGTTAAATATTCCCGTCTTCCTCTTCTCCTCTCGATCCCACATAAACACACACACACACACATACTCGTTCTGTCATAGTGGAGGCTGAGACACATACAATCACTCCCGCAATCAACATAATCTCCCATCTGGTCAGTGTTTGTCTGTCCAGAACCATCAGCCCAGGCCAGTCCACTTTCCAGTAACCATTAGGAATCATAAACGCACACACACATGCACACACTTGACTCCTTCAGACCATGAAATCACCCCACTTCATTTTACACACAGCCTGCCATTATGATGCATTCGGCATCGTTAGAGTAGCAAACCACCCATGCGCACACATTTAACATGAGATCTCTGATAGATTTGGTTGTATTGATCGTTAGGGCACACACAGCAGAGGACCACATCCAGCTCAACACACTATAAAACCACAGCTGTTCACACTAAGAAGAATTTATACGCCACAAACATCTGCTTCTTCAAACCACCTCAGACGACCCTGGTAAACTTCTGAACTGTTGAACTGATAAACACACACTCAGCACACACACACACACACACACACACTCATATGTCTCCTCTGGCCTTACCTGCGCTCACAGTGATGGCTTCTATGAACTGGTCTCTCCAGCTGTTGGTTCCTACCAGCAGAGCCAGGTTGGTCTTCTTTATCAGCTTGTCCACCGTGTTCTGCCAAAGGACAGAGGAATAATATGGTTAGAGGAGAGACACCCGTCTGTTCACTGAGTGCTCAAGATGTCATTTCATTTCACAAAGCCATTCACGTCTTAGAATTAGCCATTTGCTCGGTGTTGGAAATCTGTTGCTGCACTCCATTAAACATTAAACAACTCTGTCCTTTCAGAGCAAACACAAAAGTTTTCAGAATTTCTGGTGACAGGAGACAGAAACAAATGCTGAAGCTGGTTGTAACATGTTGACTGCTTTCAAATGGGCTGGGGTGGGCAGGCAAACATGGGGTTTGTGGGAAATGCGGTCTTAATTTTGAAAAAAACTAACACTACTTACAGCCTCACAGAGACACAGGCATATGTTAATCTTTACCCTGCTGTTGTGATTGTGTTATTTTAAATAATCTTTTTATATTTTCTGCACTTTTGCTATTTTTAATGGTGATTTAAAGAATTGCAAATCATTTAGTAATTAATTTTACCTTGTATATATATTTTTTGTCTTTACTCTTATTATAAATCTGTATCTTTCATTGTGTTTTACATTTACATTGTTTGTGTTATTATTTGACTTTGGTATTTGAAAGGGTTACTTCAGACTCACCGAAGTCACACAATAACACAAACAGACTAACAGCTCCTGTGTTCAGCAGGCTTAAATTACTGTTTTTGTTAATGGAGTCTGGTGGCTTTGATGAGAGCATAGATGGGGAACTGAAGCTGTGAACAGCTTCCCCAGTGCAAAGGGCTGTCTGTCGCAAGGTCAAGCAGAGAAAATATTCTCAACACAGCATACACTTAAATGGATAAAGATTTTTTTTGGGTGGGACTATGTTTTTTAGATGGCTAAAATACATTTTTGCTGCTAACCCCAGTCCATAGCAGCACATTGCTTAGCTCCTGTGGTGGTAAGCCTGCCTGCTCCTCCAAAGTGGGGGTGCCACTAGATATCTACTGTGGATGATACGCTGACTATAGATACAGTAAGTATCTCATATAGCCCCACTTTAAAAGATCCATTTAGTAACTTTAAGGCTGGAAAAAACATTTAATCTGGTCAGTGTCACATAAATACCATGTGCCAGTTTGATACAATGATATATGATGTGCACTGGGTAAAATATTCAAAGCAGCGACTAATATTCTAGCATATTTTTAAACATACTTCCCAGGAATGAAACCACACATTTTATTCCCTCTTTCCAAACTTCTTTCCCTCCTTGTCTCCTTCATTTTGTACCTTTATATTTCTTTGTTGTTTTCTTCAACAGGAAGAAACAATTAAATATTGAGAGCACACACACACACACACACACACACACACACACACACACACACACGCACTAATTAGCAGAGCAGTGGGGTTTGCTCTTTCTTCTCTCTCCACTTCAGAGGGAAACTGGGATACTAATTGTGCTGAATGGAGCTTAGGGGTGTCAATAGTGCCTCGCTGCTGCTGTGGACACACACGTGTGCGCACACACACATACACACACACACACACACTGCTCCTTTTCCTCCCTTAGATAATTACTTTAGACTCAGTTGGACTGGTGTGAAATACATATTTGCTCATGTCTCTGTGCGTCTCTGCAGAAGTGAACAAATGTGAACCTCTTACAGTGGGTGAATGAAGATATCAGAATTTTCTGTCAACAGTTTGTGGCGCTATAAATCTCAGTGATGACCCAGCTGAGGGCAACGAATGACCTTCGACCTGATTCTGACCCCTGATGAATCTCTTTCTCACTCAAATTATTGAAATCTTGAAGTCCTTGAAGTCTTTTCCCTCCAAAAAACAAAGCATTTTAAAGCATACTGATGATGTATAAAATGTAAAAACTGTCACTAAAACAAATCATAACTCACCCAATGTTCATCTGTTTTCTATTCATCTGTAATATGTTTGTTGTCGATACTTTTTATTTGTTTACTGGTTTTATTGTTTGAATGAAATTCACTTAGACTGAAAAGTTAACTTTCCATTAATGCAGCTTTTCTCCATCAATCTGTTATGTCAGACACTCTCACACTGATGTACTCCACTATCTGCCAATGGGCAGTACTTTAGGGAACTATAGGATCCGGTCCCTTGCTCCTACACACACACACACACACACACACACACACACACGCCGCACAATTTAATGTAGAAAACTACTTGACAATGTATAGCATCCTGTCAAGTGGCGAGCTATTACTGGGTGTTATTAACTGTCTTCTGTCTGGAGTGAGTGTGGAGGTGGAGTGGCAGCAAAGAACATGCATTAGCACACACACACACACACACACACACACACAATGTAACATGGATGGTAATTACATCCACGCTTGTCTTAAGAGTCTGCGTGGGAGAGGGAGAGGAAGGAAAGGATGCACACAATAATCTTTTATTTATTTCATTTATTTCCTGTATGTATTGGAACGCTTTGTGACTGAGTGAGTGTAACATGAGAAGTGATTTAGAAACCCAAGCACCAGAACAAATGTTTGCATTATACATTTCTGCAAACCACATTATTATGTAGCAGATACGTTACTTTATGCAGCATTTCAACTATGATGTGGTTATGTTTAGGCACAAAACACCTTTGATACAGTCAGGAAAAGACCACGTTTCTGCTTAATATCCCCAGTTTTGGTGGCACAACCGCAGCTGGAAATGCAGTGATATCATGTCCATTATTTTGTTGCGGACACATTAGAACTTAACGTTTCCCAACAGTAAAAAACAGCTGCTTTTAGCACTATCCCTGCTGGGAAAACTGCAACAGGTCACTTTAAAACACCAATGTTCGGTGCCTAAAATGCTGCTGGAATCTGACTTGCAATAAATCACAACTGGTTTTGTTGTTTGTTGGTCTCAAACAATGATCTACAGCTTGGCAGGTGTCTTGGCCAGGTGACATCCACCTGATGACAAAGTCAGCTCATATCCTCCTGAGACCTGAACTTTTGTTTGGTATGCATTTTCAATTTTCCCTAGCTATTTGGGATCAGTAGGACCCGATAAGTATAAAAAACCTAACACTGTCAACGATAATTACGTCCCAATGTCCTAAAATGAGACGCTAACAAAGTCCTAATGTCTTCAAAACAGTACTTCCTAATTAACAGCATTGTAGCTTGTAACTGTTGCTAAAATTGGTCAACTTTGTTGCCATATCAAACTACAAACATTATTGATCATAAATAAACAAGTTTCAACCATAAAATCTAATCCGGTTTTGGACCTTGTCCACTTCTGTGTCTGGATCAGCTGCAGACTGACTTGACAGAGATGGCTGCCATCTTGTTTTTACATGGTTTAGTGTATTGTGCTCTTACTACCACTAGGTGGCACAAAAAGTGTCCACAAATGAGGACAACAGGTCTGAGTTAAGTAGAATGAAGTATAAGGTCAAGTAAACCTAAAATGTGACGTCCTCACATGAGGACACAGGGTCTCAGGAGGAAACGTTGATATGATACCTATGAGCAAATGTTACGTATTGTGTTTGTCTGTGTCGTGTCAGTTGAAGGCCCTTGATATGTGCTGTAACCCATTAACAGTGTTTACTGATTTGATTCAACTGTCCTAAAACTCAAAGTTTCCTTTGTGTAATGAGATCAGACATTTCAGACTCATGTGTGAGGTCATTTAATTTGGTTGCAGTTAATAGGAGTCATCGGAAAGACTAGAGCCAGAACACTGTCCTCATACACCAGGGTTTTTCTTTTGTTTCTTCTTATTATTTGGAGAGCTAAAGTAAATTTATAACAGTAAATTACACTGCACATTAAAACATGTGCTCCTGTCATCTCTACAGGATCAATTCAGTTCAAGTCAGATGTCTAACTTTAATTAATTTGACCACACACACACAAACACACCCCCTGCCTTACCTTGAACTCATATGATTCCTCTATGATGACCTCCAGCTTGACGTGGTCTCCCAGCGTGGGACGGCCCATCTCAGCGATGCGCTGCTCCTCCTCATCTTTCCCCGTCAGCGCCTCTTCTTCCTCCTCCTCCTCCTCCTTCTCCTTCTCCTCTGAAAACACCACAAGACAATAACCGGCTGCAGAGTTAAAACAGGGCGGCAGTAGACTTGATTTTATTTCACCAGGATAATCCACTTAGTGTCAATACTGCTTTCCAAGGAGTCCTGAGTGCAGATATTAAAACAAACAATAAAATAAGAAGACAGTTAAAACACACAAAGCAGGCCATGTTGGTGACGCTGTAGATGCTGGGGAATGATTGGACAGCCGGAGCAAACACAGCCTGCAAGTTTCCAGAGAGAGGAAGCAGTTACGTAGAAGTAAAGAAGATATTAGAGCTATAAATAGACAAAAGTTATGTAAATGCCAAACAAGAGATGCAGGAGCACCTTGTGACGCTAAAAGAACATGTCATCTCATCAACTTTTAACAGTCAGACTCATGACACCTGAGAGACTTGTATTACAAATGTTGACACTTACAGCAGCCCTACTGAGGGAGTATATTTCAATTTGTATCAGTTGTTATGGACTCAGCAGCATGGCAGTTATACATTTTAATGTGTAATGACAGCATCCATCTGGGCCCTGTAATCCTTGAAAACTTGTGTGTACAGTGCCGAAATGAAAAAGGCTCTTTCTTTATACTAAAACCAAACCATCAGCATCTCAAGACACCAGGGTCTTCATGATTTGTTCTTCTTCATGACACCATCACCACCAGGTAAAATGCACATGTACTCAGGATACACGATATATATTGGCCGATCATGCATTATTCCGATAATTAAAATTATAGCTGATAAATAGCGCCGATAATATAAGCCAGACTGCTTTCATTGACTTAACAAGGGCAGATCTCCAACCGCCAAACACCCCACCAGATCAACAAACTTCCTGTAGCTGTAGGTTCGATGCGGCGCCAAAGGACTGTCTCCAGAGCGTTAGCACGAGCTAATTAGCAGCAGTGGGTAACATCCAACGACTCCACTTTGTTGTTAAATTTATGAACCTTCTGAGACCCTGTGTCCTCATATGAGGACGTCACATTTTAGGTTTACTTGTCTTTATACTTCATTCTACTTAACTCAAACCTGTTGTCCTCGTTCATGGACACTTTTTGTGCCATCTAGTGGTAGTGAGAGCACAATACACTAATCCATGTAAAAACAAGATGGCAGGCATCTCTGCCAAGTCAGTCTGCAGCCGATCCCAACACAAAAGTGGACAAGGTCCAAAAGCTGATGACATTTTATGGTTGAAACTTGTTTGTTTATGATTAATAATGTTTGTAGTTTGATATGGCAACAAAGTTGACTAATTTTAGCAACAGTTACAAGATGAGACGCTGTTAATTAGGAAGTACTTGTTTGAGGACATTAGAACTTTATTATCATCTCGTTTCAGGACATTGGGACGTAATTATCGTCTCGTTTGAGGACATTGGGACTTTATTATCGTCTCGTTTCAGGACATTGGGGCTCGTTTGAGGACATTGGGACTTTATTATTGTCTCGTTTCAGGACATTGGGGCTTCATTATCGTCTCGTTTGAGGACATTGGGGCTCGTTTGAGGACATTGGGGCTTCATTATCGTCTCGTTTCAGGACACTGGGACTTCATTATTGTCTCGTTTGAGGATATTGGGACTTCATTATCGTCTTGTTTGAGGACATTGGGGCTTCACTATCGTCTCGTTTCAGGACATTGGGGCTTCATTATCGTCTCGTTTCAGGACACTGGGGCTTCATTATCGTCTCGTTTCAGGACACTGGGACTTCATTATCGTCTCGTTTCAGGACATTGGGAGTTTATTATAGTTGACAATGTTGAGTTTTTATACTTATTAGGTCCTACTGATCCCTAGCTAGGAGAAATTAAAAATGCATACCAAACCAAAGTTCAGGTCTCTGGAGGACAGTAACCGCTAACCATGTGTGTGTGTGTGAGACACAGCTGCTTGTTTGTCTGAGTTGAGTGTTAATGTGCGAGGTGAATCAATAGCGCATCACAACTACTTGGTAGTTGTAGGCTAGTCTATCATGAGACGGTGAGTCAGTGCCTGGGTGTGTTTATAAACATGCAGTGTGATGATATAAACATTTCATGCACCAGATGTAACACGGACCTGTTGATGTTCATATGAGTCAGCAATCAGTGTTTGTCTCTGGGCTTCATAATCCCCCTCTCTCTTACCGTTAACTATAACTGATTAGAAGTCATTTTACTTTCACATCCTTGTATTTTATTATTATTATTATTTTATTATGTTCATCTGTAGTGTAGGGTTATACAGGGGCAGGGGCATTCAGCATAGACCTGATATCGGCAGGTATGGAAGAGTCAGAACTGTTACTTGTTTTTGTTGTGTTAGCAACAGTGATGTCGGATTGATTTGGTTAGGTCAGGACTACGGAATATTGAATCATCCATATTTTCTCAGGTGTACATAAACTACAAGTTATGCACTTCTTTTTAAAACACAAAAATGTGAAATTATGGGTGATCGTATTGGTTATTGACCATGAGAAGCAGGTAATTATCAGTTATCGTATTAGTTGAAATGATCCATATCAGTGCATCCCTAACATACATACACAAATCTTCAACACAGGAACACCAAACTGAACTATGCTAAATCATAATTGTCACTAAATGAATTGATATCTATTAATGAAGGAGTTCCTCTCATTAGAATGAAACCGACATCGATCCTGGAAATAAACTGAACTAATGATTCAAATCAGTGATTCTCAATTTCCACCTCTGGCATCCACCTTTGTGTTTAATTAATATCTAGATGTGCCGCTGCTTTCAACTGAAATAATTCGATTTTCACTGTTCAATAGTGACGGTGGCATTACTAAATGAAAATATACTTCCAGTTCCTCTCTCGTCTCATTATCTCTGTCTCTCTATTTCTCACATACAACCCCCATCTCTTCTTCTTCTTCTCTTCCTTTTCTTTTTTCTTTATGGTGTGTGTCAGTAATTGAGATTCACTATAGAGCCTGAACTCACTGCCGGGATCAAAGAGGAGGAGAAATACAATTCATGCTATTGCCTTCCATTATAGTGCAGTACATTGACGGTTGGCACCAATTCATTGGTCATTTGTTCCCCTCAGTTGAGTTACAGCATGGAGCTTATAGCTCAATCACACACACATGAATGCAAATTTCTGCCAGGAGCGGTTTCGTCAAACTTTTACTTCATCATAAGCAAGAAGCAGTTTTGCATTGCGGCCTCCTGCGGGAATGTGAAGCGTGAGCGCTGAAGGAGAGAAGAGCAGCAAATAAAACCTGCTGCAACAATGAGTTAAGTGTGACGCCATTAAAGTTCAGAGTCGTAAAATTAAACTGCATGTTTTTTTCCACTCCATAAATCACATGCTCATTACATTCTCAAGTAGAGCTGTTATAGTTGATTTCTCTTGTCATGATGACCAACCGAAATACGTATTTGAATGTCCAAGTAAAAATTTCTACCTTGTGAACATACAGTTTTTTGTTACAAGTGATCTTGATAGTCTTTGCTCTTTTATGTACATGATAATACACTGCGTGCCAAATTATTATGCAAGCTTTTCTTGAAAATCTGGAAAGCTGCTGTTCAGGAAAAATAGTGTTTTAGTATGATGAATTTAAGGCCTTAAGGCTTTAACAAAACCCTTCTTGTTTGAATCTTCAAAGCTTTCCAATATCCTGTATCACAGACCACGTGTAAATAAGTGTGCCACATTCTTATGCAAGTCCTATTCAACTTTGACCATGGGCCAGTGACCTCCAAAATAGTCAGGATGGGAGAAAACCCAGAGTAGGAAAAGCTTGCCAAACATTATCAAGCCGAGAACTGTCAAGAATCAAACAAAAGGGTTGCTAAAAGACCCTTAGCTGCCAGTAAGGCCATTTTTGAAGCTGTGGGGCTCAATGACGTACCCAGGTCTACTCGATGTAGGACGCTAAGACGAGAGGCAAAGGTCCAAAAGGCAAAGACAAGACCACCACTGAAGAAAATACATCAGGAAAAACGACTGGAATGGGCTAAACAATACATGAAGGCCGACTTTTCCAAACTTATATTCACAGATGAGCGCCGGGCAACCCTATATGGACCAGATGGTTGGATTTCAAGTGGCCATGCTGCTCCAACTCGACTGCGATGTCTACAAGGCGATGGTGGTGTTATATTCTGGGCTGCCATTGTTGATGATGAACTTGTTGGTTCTCTTCGGGTTCAGGATGGTGTAAAAGTGAATTCTGAAGGGTTCTGCACTTTCCTCAAAGACAAAATTCCTTCCATGGTGGAAAAGACAACCAGCTAAAGTCACATGCCTCACATTATTCCCAAGTCTGGTTGGCATCTCAGGGCTTTAGAGACGATCGCCTCATGAACCGGCCTGCCTGCTCACCTGATCTCAACCTAACTGAGAACTCGGGGCCATAATAAAGAAAATGATTTACAGATGGCAAGTAATACAGCTCAAAAGACCAGCTTTGGAAAGCCATACAAGGTGCAGCACAGTGTCAGCAGAGAAGTAATCAGAAACCAAACTAAATCAGTTGACCAGCGACTACTGACCCTCCTTGAAAGGAAAGGAGGTTATATTGGACATTAGAGGAAAAACTTTATATTTGAAAATAGGGATGTCCCAATCCGATTTTCGGATCGGTATCGGCCGCCGATATTAGCAAAAAATGTGCATCGGCATCGGATCGGACTGCATGGACAAATGCCGATCCAAGAACTCCGATCCAGTTTTTCATGGAGCCTGATCCGGCCAGCCCAGCACTCCGTGATTCAAGCAGTCCATTCCAGTGATCCGCTCCAGCACTTACTATCAATCCACCAGGCCAGCATGCAGACACACAGGAAACAGCAGCACCAGGCTGGCACTGACACTACAAAAATAACTGAAAAGGAAAGGCTGCATTGTTTGTTAAATGTCAACAATGTCTTGTGGTGTTAATCTATTTTTTATTCATTAGGGGGCCAAAGCACAAGTGTGTGGAGTCTTGCTGCTATTTTAATTTCAATGTTAGACATTTTAA